AGAGAGAAACGCGTAACATGTTATTCGATCGTTATATTATATCAGGTTGGTTTTCTTCAACAACATTTATCGCTTATCTAGTGTCAATCGTGGCTGGATATGTCGCCCCCCCACCCCCTTGCCCTGCCCACTCTCCCCCTCCGCCCTGGGGGGGCTGTCTCTGTTTGTGTGCGTTTATCAGTTTTTTATGGCGAACGCCAAGTTTTGAGTTACCAATTGATGTTGCCACAAATATTTTTTGCAACAGCTACATTGAAACAGAGACATTAGAGCTATGTCTATATATATATATATATATATATAAAGCCCCCTGTACCCCCGCCCGTATACGAACAAACAGTGTGACTATATGGATAACGGATTTAGTTTTCCATTCATTGTGTGACAGTGCGGACGTGTGTGAGAGAGCTTAAATAATTCTGTGAGTGGGCTAATTAACTGTGAATAAAGCGCAAAAAATGCGCTTTTTAATGCACGTATCTTACAGATACTCAGTCATGGAAAGTATCTTAAGCATAGGAACATAATGTAAAGTAATATCAATCTCTTTATGCAGTGTCTCATTTCAGTAAAAGTATCTTGTAGATACTTTTAGCAAAGTATCTGGGGAACATAATGTAACCAACAATCATAGATACATCAGGAAGTATGTCATACGAAAATCATAACCAAAAATAACTCTGCTTTTCAAATGAGTATCTCATAGATACTTTTAAGAAAGTATCTTAGATATACAATGTAAGCAACAGTAATAGATACATCTTAAAGAGCATCTTAAAAACCTTGATTTTTAAATAAGTATCTCATAGATACAACATAGATACATCATGAAATAAACAAATTGGAAAGTGTCTAATGTTTATGAGCATGAATAATAGATACTTCTTCACGTATTTCATAGATACTATATAGGGATTATATAGAGAAATGAAACAAAGATGTGCTTTTATTAAAAAGGTATATATACTTGAGATATCGTATCTTGAGGTCACATGATATAACCAGAAAGTTCTTTAAAATACAAAACAGATTCTTTATGCGGAATGCAAGGATGATTAATCCATGAATATGTATGTATGTATATGACAGATACTTTACGCGGAGTATCTTTAGAAAAAACAGCTTTAAATATATCATAAATACTTTTTATATAGTATCTTAAGAAAAAGAACCGCGATTTATTCATGCACCCATTTCAAATATCTTATAGATACTTTATAAGAAACATATCTTTGGAAAGAGAACTGTGATTTATTCATGCAATCACTCGTATTATAGATACTTTGTATAGAATATCTTTGGATAGAGTACCGTGATTTAACTAAAAAGTACCGTTGAGAACTATATGAAAACTCGATAAAATGGAATCAAAAAATATTATTTAAGGCAAATAAATATTGGGAAGCTCCTATAAAAATTTCTTTGTACAAAGAAATGCCTCCTACTAGAGTTGCGAAAAACATATAGGAACTATATTTCAGAACTCCAGCTATTTGAGTTAGTAAGCTATAGAGAAAAAACTTGAGATCCTAGTTAGATAGTTGAGATACTTTTGTTTGCCTAAAATATGCGGAATGAAAAGGGGTGAAAGAAAAACTACCTAGCGCAATATTGTAAAGCTGATTTCAGCTCGAATGACTCACGTTTGGCATGTTATCAAAATAAAGCGCAGCTTCCAACAGTTTAAAACAAATCCCAAATGTAATTAACTAAACTAATTAGCAGAGACCCCAAACAGAACCAAATAAAAACACATGTTTCCAAGTGGATGTGAATAATAAATAGTCATAAAGAACCGAAAGAGGAAGCTACCCCAAAAAACAAAAACAAAAAAAAATATAGAAAACCAACTGATACCGAGTACTCTAATCTATCAACTACTCATATGTATATATGTATATATAGTGCTCCCAGGCCAGACGATTATGCTAGCTCGATGATCGGGTCTGAAGCCGACGGGCGTTCGAGTCCTCGATCCGATCGGATCGTAGCGTGTGCCAAGCAAGTGCGAAACCTGCCAGCTAGCCGAGGATACGTATTTGGGCTAAACAAACAGATCTTCGGTAAACCATTTGCCAGTTGCGTGTGTTTGCGGCTTATTTATATGGCAGATACTTATCAACTGGCCATTCGGCATGAGATATTCCTATTACCGTTTCAGTGTATTCTCTGTGTGTGTGTGTGTGTGTGGCTGATATCTTTTTTCGGGCTCTCGTTTTCGTTGTCGGTCGGTCGGTGTCCGTCCCGTTCTCGTTTTCATTTGGCTTCTTATCTTGGCTATTTGCTGGCCTGTAACTTGGACAGCGCTTGTCATATATTGTCTAACAGCTCAAATTACGATTTAGTTTCAAGTGTTTAAATAAGGCGGTAGGTAGGTACAAGCCCCAGACAACAAAGACAATAACAACAACAACAACAGCTAGAAATAAATAAATAATCGGTGCGTAATTTGTGCAACATTTCGGACAAGTGTTTTTTTTTTTCATGATTAGCTTCGTGTGTGTGTGTGTGTGTGTGTGCTGCTCTGTGGGCTCAAGAGTGTGTGCCAAGGGTTGTAAAGTTCCGACATTTGTGGGCTAAAAAACAAATAGGCATTACAAAGACCGCGAAACTCACAGAATTCAGCTTAAGTTCTTGACTTTAGTGTGAGCTTAAGTTGAAAAATATATTGAGAATATACAAAAAGCATATGTTTGCATGTTTGGTTCGAGCCGGCGACCTGCCTTGCGCTTCGTTTTGTGAAGCTGGAAATCAGTTTAAGTTCTTGACTTTATTTCGAGAATACGCCAAAAAAATGGTCGCTGGTTCGAACCAGCGTTCTGCCTGGGAATCACTTTAATTTCTTGACTTTAGTTCGAGCTTAAGATTGAATATATTTGAATAATATACCAAATTAATGGTCGCTTCTTCGTTTGACGGTTCGAACCAGCGACCTGCCTTGAGCTTTGCTTCGTGCAGCTGTTTTTTTCACATAAGTAAACCCACTTTTTGGCTAAATTCTCAGCTTGCCGCATATTCTACAAAATTTATTAACACAGTTAAAGTTTTCATTTTGGTTTTTGCATATTTTATTGCATAAAGAAGATTCCCGCTAAATATGATCCACGTCCACAATTCGATTCAAGCATATTTGGTTAGATACGGCGAATAGTTGGAGCCTGAATTGATAATTATTGATTATCGAGCTGAATCTCGCTCTCCTTTTGATTCTGTTGCAACTGCTTTATGTTTTAGTTCATATTGAAAAATTGATTGGAATCCTGGACTTGAACCGTTTTGGCTTGAAACCAGCTGGCACTCTAGCTTGTAAAATCCAAGCTAAATTTATATAAATTCTAAATTCTATATTTTAATTTTTCATATAAAAACACATGCTTTAAAAAAGTTATAATAGAAGGCGTCTTTGTTTTCGTTACATAATCTTTGCATAAATTCTTCAGTAAGAATTGAAAGAACTAAATATTATTTTTGTATACTTAATAAATTGAGCATAAAGCATATTAAACACATATTCTTATTATTTATTCAATATTTTACTGAATATATAGTAAGATTTTTTCCTAATATAAAAAAAAAAATGCTTTGAAATAGAAATAATTAAAGGCTTCTCCGCATAATGCGAAAGTGCCCAACATATTCTTTGAACGAATTTAAATCAAGTTTATATTTTTAAATAAAATAATATGCTTTGAGAAAGTAATAACAATAATATAATTGCAATAATATATTGCATGCATGCCTTACAAATTCTTATAATTAATTTTATTTCGTTTTTGAAATAAAAATTAAGTTCTTTCTCATCAAATGAATTTAATATGCTTTGAAATAGTAATAATATTAATTTAGTAATTTATTATTTTTATCATATTCGAGTAGGCTTCACGCATTCTTATAATAAATTCTACACATTGCTTGAAAATTAAAATAATTTTATTTATCCTCTATAGAAAAGAATTTGCTTTGATAAAAGGCTTCTTCGTATCAAGCTTAGATTCAAGTGGATTTTTTGCTGAGAGTAGACAAAATATTTAATTAATTAAATTCTTTTAAATATTTTACATATTTATTTGCATAAATTTGAGCATTTAAAAAGATCTCAGCTCAATTTATTAAATTTCAATTTGACGTAGAAATTAAGGAAATTTGTGGCATTTATTTAATTGCGTAGCCAAATATCAATACACATATTTGCACATTAGGAAGTTTATTATTATGAAATGAAAGTGAAATAAACAAATAAGAAAAGCTATAAAATATCATTTGGGGAAACATCTATCGCTGAGTTAAATGTCATCTCAAATGTCTAGTCTGGTTCGGGGAATCGTTGTTCTGTTGTTTTGTCTATTTATTTGATAAACAACAGCTGAACAAGTCACATCTTTTGAAATAAATAGAAAACAAATGCAAAGAAATAGAAAAGCAAAATATTATTAAAAAAAAATATAAATAAATTTAATATTGCAAATAAACAAAATAGTTAAACAAATATTTCGAATTGTTACGCTAGGCATTCAGTTCAAAGACATTGTTTGCACAGGCTGCATAACAACAAGCAATAAAAACACAATCCAGGTAATTCGATCTACAGGTGAGCTTTAAACACACAGACGTACGCGCACGCACGCACAGTGGGCACCCACTACAGATAATCGATGATAGACTGTGTCCAATTGGGTTGCCTCCGCGCTCGACACTTTTGAAGTGCACAACAATTGCAAAATTCAATGAGATAGAGGCACCCGAACACCCAAATTAAACAGCGATGACAACTCCGATAACAGCCGATAACACAGCTGGTGTGTGTAGGTGTGTGCGTGTGTGTGTGTCTTGTCTTTGACAGGCCTTTATCTAAAAGCGCTTTCTATTTGCGGACTGACAGTCGCTGAGCAATTGCATCTTGATGGGCCACTCGAACAAAGTTCAAACTCTTATCGTTAATCGTTAATCGTATATCGTTAATCGTTAATCGTTAATCGCTAATCGATTATTCTTTTGGGCAGGATCTAACGGCGACGACTACGATCCGAGCGTCGTGCGCCATCATCATCATCACCATCATCATCTGGATCTCGGCGGCACAGCGACGGCCTTTGGTCCACTGCCGCCGGCGCATCTGAGGCCCGAGGACACCTTCGCCCGCCACCTGCCGCCCACGATATCCCCGCCGTCAGCAGCGCTGCAGCAGCAGCAGCAGCAGCAGCAGCCTCCGTCGCAGCCGCCGCAGTTGCCACAATTACAGTTGTTGCAACGGCAGCTGCCGCGTTCGCCGCCCGCCTCTGTCTCCGCCTCCGCCTCTGCCTCTGCCTCTGCCTCTGCCTCTGCTTCGGCTTGCAGCAACGGTTCCGGTTCCGGTTCCGGTTCCGTTGCCAGCGCCCACATGGAGCAACTGTTCAATGACAAGGCGCAGGCATTCCTGCTGGAAATGGCGCGCCTGCGCGAACCCGTCTGTGATCTGGATATTCGTGATACTGGCGTCTATGCCAAGACACATCTGCCCCGCGGCACGCGCTACGGACCCTTCCCCATGCGCCTCTGCCAGCAGCCCAGCGATCGCCATCTGGCCTGGGAGGTGAGTACACCCAACGTTACCCGATCTTTATACTCCATATAAAGCACAGCTTCCAAATAATTCCTAGTAGCTGCAGCGACTACTGAGTTCCCTAGAAATGAAAATAGTATAGACTATTTATTACCTGTATGTCTATCCATCTGTCTATCTATTAACTGTCTATCCATATCTATCTTTCTGTCTATTAAAATAGAAGAAAATGATGTGCCAAAGAATATATATCTGCAAATTCTCCAACTAGCCTGAATTATTTAGTACACGTCGATAAATTATCTTTTCAACTAAAATTGCTTGTAAAAAGAATTTATAACTTTTTCTCATTGAAAAAATATAATCAACATATAATATATGTGAAATTATACAATTTTTGAAAGACTTGCTGATTGTTTATATATATATAAAGCCGAAAATATATATAAATCTTGAATTTCCCGCAATTCGAAATATTCTTACAAAATTAAAATTGATTGAAACAAAAAATTTTCTGAATTTTCCCATCAAAAAACACCTCTCTGAAACGCGCATGTTAAAAAAAAAATTGCTTTTTATAAAATAGATACAAAAAATTAAAAAAAAGATAATATATATGCCATAAAGGAGACTGCATTAATAAGCGATATATGATATATGGCTCTATAGGAAATATAGTTCTCTCCACAAATTCGATTTCTTATCCATTTCCTTGTCATTCTTGCTTTTAAATAACTCTTAACAATAGTTAATCTCCCAATTCTGATTATATTAAAGCAATTATTGAAGAACTCAAATGGTTCTCAGAATTCAAGAGCTTATCATTAGCGAGAAGCGAGCCGATAAGCATTATCATACAGACGAAAATATTCGCTGTGATCTATAATAATAAAAAATAATCATAGTTTTGTATTCTTTTTCGTATAGCTCTCCTCATATTATGATATCTTTATATACATAAATCTTGCGCTTAACCCAAAAGAAAAAAAAAAAACCGCAATTGTAGAGTTTTTCCGGCTAATTGCGAATCGTTAGCCGTGAAAATGATATCTATATCAAATCCTTTCGCATATGTGCGAATTTCTGTCCAAAAATCGTCTCCAATTTCCGTTTTTTTTTTTTGGGAAATTTAATCCCATCAAAGCTGCGCGTGAATTTTTTTTTTTTTTTTTGGCGAAAATTGCACAAAAATTGCGAGAATTTCATTTTGTTCTGCGTTTTCTTGGGCAGAAAATCAAACGATTGGAAATAGATTTGATTAGGCCGTGCGGCTGGGAGGGTACACACACGCTCGGATTGTCAGTCAAATGTGCCTAATCCTTGGCCAGAGCTAATTTCCTGGTCGCACACCGGGCCAATCCACAAAGTGCACCCTAAATGAGGCTTAAGTTGAGGCACGGTCCCGATGATTCCAATTAGTTTGCGACGCGCCCGAACCCTTCGATTGATTGTCATTCAGTCAGTCAGTCGGTCCGTCGGTCCGTCGGTCGGACCGTCGGTCAACTGACACTTTGGCTCAGCTTCTGGCAGGCAGACAAACTGACAGACAATCCAATCAAATTATCGCGCCTAGAGCCGAGTTGACAATTGTCAAAGGTAGCTAGCTGGCTCTACCTGGGCGAAAGTATCTCTGTCTGTCAGTCGGGTATTGCAACAATATTATTGTTGTTGCCACTCGAGCTCTGGCAACTGAAAATTGGCAAAAGGACACGTTGACAGTTCTCGCGCTGATCCCAGTCCCTGTCTCCCTCTCTCCCTCTCTCGCTCATTATTATATTTATGCTCTAGATGATCCTCAAATCAAGCGCACTTTTCTCTCGTTCACATTTCCGTTTTGACAGATACATTGCCTCTATCTGTATCTGTAGCTGTATTTGTATCTGTATCTGTAGCTGTAGCTGTAGCTGTATCTGGCAATTTGAAGACCCTGCTTCTCGTGGTGTGAACCCAACACTTTCCAGAGATTATCTCTGGCGCGTAAATATTTTTCTTGCCCATTGACTGTGCCATGTTTTTCGTGCCTATTTGTGGCCTCTTTTTTTTAATAAACTTATGAATAGCCTGTGCGGCAGCGGGTAACGGTAGCAGCAGCAGCAGCAGCAGGACCTGGCTCTGTGCCGCCGGCCTGTTTCAGGGATTAGCCCTTCAGGAACAACAACTTGGCGCTGATCTCGAATAACTGCACAGCCGTCAGTTTCTTTGGCATGTTGCACAGTTCTTTAGCCTTGTTATCTATATCTGTATCTATTGGATATCTTTATGATCCTATCTTTTAGTGGCTGACTCGTATTGCAGTTTCCGTTCCGCTCCGTTCCGTTCCGTTCCGAGCTAATGCTAATCTCTGTGGACTCTTTATTGCTTGCCGTCGTCTCCCTGAGATTAGCTCGTGTTGTTTGCAGTTGCGGCATCAAATGGAACCGATTTCTTATATAAACAACACTCATCATTTGAACAGCATTACAAACACTTTTTTAACAAATTTATCGCCTTTCTATCGCTTTTCTATCTTCCTATTTGTTGGTTAGCCTCTTTTACATACTTCACATATATAACATTTACATTTATTGCTGCATACATGTTTTTGCTTTACGCAACACTTTTTTTTTGCGAAAGTATCGCCTTTCTATCGCTTTTCTATCTTCTATACCCTTTTGCTTACTTTACATATATATAACATTAACATACACACATACATATACACTGTTCGTTAATTGAAGTCCCACTCGCTCTACATACGCACACACACTCACACACACACACACATTTCACATATCGTTACACACCGCACTTGACCATAAATGCGCGCACACACACACACAGCTGCTGCGCTCATGTGTAAACCGCAACTTGAATTTTATTTTATAGAAATGCTTGCTAATGCATATAAATACAAATAAATGTGTACATGTGTGTGTGTGTGTGTGTGTGTGCCTCGATAAAAAGTTGGTTTCAAATAATTCTTTGCATAAGCCGCGGCGCAAGCACTTGAAGCGTTGTTAACTTAATTTTTGGAGCGTGCACAAACATATGCTCACACACACACACGCACATGCACACACAGCACTCGCCCACTCTCATGCTCTCAAAGCTCTGCCCAGCCCGCTTGCTGCCGCAGCGCTGCCCAAACTCTGCAGACTCTCTCCCACTCAAAAGCACACACACACACACGCACGCACGCAGACGCTCAGCACTTAATGTAGAAAGAAAAAAAAAACGAATTCTGTAAAGCGCCGTTTTTCCATTCGACTTGTCGGACAAGAGCCTGACGGCGGCTGGCGTTGACTGCGGCGGCGTAACGGTAAGCGCAAGTCATTTCGCTGCCGTTGTTGCTGCTTTCGCTGCTGCTGCTTCTGCTTCTGTTGGCGTCGCAGCGTCTTTGGCTGCCAAACCGCAGTCGGCGATTTGTATAAATTATGCGTATTTAGCGGCGCTTTATTGTTGTTCCTTTTTGCTGTTGTTCTTGTTGTTGCTGCAGCTGAGACGGCGCTGCTTTTATTTTGCATACAAAAACTGTCGGCGGCTCTCTTTTCGCTGCCGTTGTTGTTAGTGTAGTTGTTTTTGCTGTCGCTGCAATTGCAATTGACCTTGAGCACAGTAGACGCTGGCAATCAGCCGGCGGGGGCGGGGGCGAGGGGCGTGACGTCATGCTGTGCTTAGAAGGCTTTCGACTTTTGTTTGCTTCAATTGGCCTTATAAAAACAGTTAATCAAAATATAACAGCTAGAAATGGTACAGTGAGCGCTCAGAAAGTTGAACTTTGCGATTTTAGAAATCTTATAAATTGAAAGTAATTCTAATTAGAATATAAATGATAAAATAATAGATTATAGATATATACATATATGTATATTATAGATAGATAATACGAACTATAATTAATAGTCACTCTTCATGTGCATTTACTGTACCCATAAATCATATGTGTTATATTTGTTTTCTACTCCCACAACTTGCTACTTTTTGCGCTAAATACTACTATTTGATAAGAAATCTACTACTATTTGAGGCTCTCATTTGCTGGTGGCTGTCAACGCTATTGGTTTGTGTGTGCGCTAAGCAGTGCTCTATATAACACTTAGCACAGTTACGTGCCTGCGCAGCCAACAGATGGCGCCAGCAGTTCCATACAAATATTTAGTTAATTTTACAAAATTAAATGAATGTTTAATTAAATAAAATATTAATTGTTGTTTTAATTACAGGTGATCGCCGGCCCGTTGTTCCATGGCTGGCTGGAGCCCTCGGCGGATGTGGCCACCTGGCTGAAAAAAATACGCGCCGCGCCGAGCGCCGAAATCGAAGAGGCTAATTTAAGGAATTTCATAACCGCCGGCTATGTGCGTAAAACTGAGCCCAAAACAAATTGAGCACAATTTTTGAAAAATTTTAATGTGCATTTTCCCAATTACCTTACAGCTGTGGTACGAGACGAAGCGCGACGTGAATGCAGGCGCGGAAATTGTGGTCGATGCCAGGTCCAAAACCCCCTACGACATTAGCGACAGCTTCATGAACGGCAGCGCTGCGGGCAGCAGCAGCGGCGCAGCAGCAGCGGCGGCCGCAGCGGCGGCAGCCATGGCAGCGGCAGCAAACAGCAGCAGCAGCAGCAACAACAATAATAACAACAACAACAACAGCGATGATCGCAGCGATCGTGATAACGGTAAGTGTTCAGCCTAGCGATGGGCGCGTGACTCATGCGCAAGGATCGGCTCAGCAGGAGCACGAAAATTGAACGTAAATACACGAAATTTGTTAAAGAATGCACTAGACGGGCGTGCATGACTGGGCGTTACCCTGTACCCAGGGCAAAGCTGCCTTTACATAGATTCCGACAGCCTTCCTCATAAGCGCACGCCCTTTAGCCCTTACTATGGAGCATGCGGTCTGGTGTAACTTGGCTGTTTGAGGTCCGATCTTAGTGAAAATTTCAGGGTCTAATTATAGCTAGCAAAAATGTGTATATACCAAGGCGCAAGGCTGCAGCTTGAAGAATACGCGTTTGTGTTTGATGTTATAGAAAATGCGAGTAGCTATTTAAAAAGTGAAATATTCCCGATCTGCAGATGCAATACTTGAATACACTTACCAAGTTTGGTTAACCTAGCTCTTATAATTCTCGAGCTATGCTCAAAGAACCAAGCCTCGCAAACGATATTTATTGATATTAGGAAGTTGGAAGTCGTATGTATTTAAAATGTGTCTAGCTTAGTTGCCGCACATCTCTAGCTCAGTGTCAGATGCATGCAGGCTGTGTGAGGGATATGTAATATATTTATATATATATTTATAATACGGCTGGGCAGCAAATTAAGCCGAACAATAGCTAGTCCGAAATGCGCGTGACAAAGCCGCTGGCACGAGCCGACGCGACGACAACATGATATCATCATCATCATCATCAGCAGCAGCAGCAACAACAAGAGGAGGAAGAGCATCCCTTGGGCTTATAAGGGCTGCAATCAGCCCTCTGCCTGATTTTGCGGGTCCTGCCGCCGCGCCTGCGCCCATGCAATCTGCGGCAACCGCACATGTTTTCATTTGTTATTAAAATGTTTGATAATTTCATTAGAGATCCATCAAAATGGGCAGGGTACACAGAGAGAGTGAGAGATTGAGAGAGAGAGATGAAAAAAAAAGCGGGCTGCAAACGATCCGCAGGCGCACGCTTAATTTAAGCCTAATCCAATGACACCCTAACGCTAGGGTGGACCCAAACCCAATTCGTGTTTGCCTCTAAACATGTGGGATTTATGAACACGTCTCATTTGACAATTCCCAGGGCTTTGTTCTTTTGGCTTTTCAACTTTTCAAATATTTATTTTTTATCACGCGTCAAATCTGTTTCACTCTGTGAAAACTCCTTTTGATGCCAGCTTAAAATTTGAATGCGTAATGGATATTAGCATATGGTTATTATAAATATATATATAAATATTATGCTATATGCGCCTGGCTTAATCTGGCCCAAGCTCTTGCGTTGCTTTTCAATTAAAGTTCGTGTTTTCGTTTTCCATGGAAATATATGCGCACACCTGTGCCAAGGACTCGCTGCTCGCTTTTTAACGTATTTTTATGCCCTGTAAACTCTGATTAGCAAATGGGGTATATTGCTCACATACTGATCCTGCAAAAAACTATATCTTCCCCAAGCAAAAGTACTTTTCGTTATAAATGTGTGCTCTTTGGGATATGCACATTTGAATGTGTTTTATTGAAGTCCTGAAAATTTCATTCCGATCGGACTGTAAATACCGCAGTTAATTGAGAACTCATTTTTAGTCGGGTAGCTTCTAGTCGCGCACTCCCTCCCAAAGCACTCGGAACTGTTCCGTTTTCACTTTACGGCCCGTTGGGCACACGAACAAGACACGGCAGGTCCTTGAAGGGAGTGTGTGTCCTACCAGATACCAGATGCAAGAATAAGTTTTATTACCTCGAACCGGGGGTTAGCCGGGGCCAAGTGTGGTTGAAATTGTAGCATAAGTCAAATGCCAAGCATCGCTGGTTAACTCGAACTGAGGGCAAAACTGACCGTTACAAAATTTGAAAATTAACGCAGGAATTTGAATATGAATGGGGAAAAATGAAGTAAATGTTCTAATGTAAAGGAACTTGCTCGAAAGGTTAAAATAAGTTTGAAAGAAATAATATATAATGTTATATTTGAATTTGAATTTAAGAATTGCATACTACGCTTCAATATTCGCCAAATTTCTGTATATCTATGTCAAGGTTCAAGAATCTAGTTGGGTTTTGGTATCTTTGGTATCTTTAAAGTGATTGGATTCTTTTTATAAAGTTGTTCAAGCTAGTTTTGGCTTTAAAGCGAGAACAAACAACGAGAACATCTTGAAACAGGCTGGCAGTCAAATCTATGAAGATATATTCTATATCTATTCTATATCTATATTCCATATCTATTCCATATCTATTCTATATCTATTCTATGTTTCCTCTGTATCTATTTAACATCTATTCTATATATATTCATGATCTTTTCCATATCCATTCTATATATATTCTTTGTTTCTTCTGTATCTATTTAATATCTATTCTATATATATTCATGATATATTCTATATCTATTCTATATATATTGTATATCTATATTCTTTACCCAGATTTTATACTTTTGAATCCCTCTTTGGAGGCGCTCTGCAGAGGTTTTTATTTCTAATGTTCACACTCTTGTTCTATAACTAATAGAGATTCTAGATTTTAACCAATTTGCCACGCCCTCATTGGGCTTAGCCATATAAACTAAGCACTTCTTCTGAAGAGCATATATTCTGGAGTTTATATTTTACATATTTTTATATTTTATATTCCAAATTCTATATCTCTAGCTTTGATAGCGTCGGAAACATAGTTTTCCTAAGCAAATATCTCAAGATCAGTAGACTATATATACAGTGTACACACTCTTGGGCGGACTGCCAGTGTTGGGTAATTATTGTACGCCTGGGGAGTGTGCGCTTAATAGAGAGGGGAAATGGCTGTGGCCTGAGCTGCAATGAAATGTCCGCCCAAGCGGGGCTGTCCGCCTAATAGAAGCATCCATTAGCAGAGTTTTCACTCAATATATATATATTCAACTAAATTAAATATAAATATTTGTTAACTCTGGTCACACGCTTGAGTTGTTTCAATCGCAATGCTAATCCATTTCTCTAGCCAGGCGCTTGGCTTGTTTTTTGGCTTTGACGCCTGCAAAGTGACAAAAACCTCATCAGGAGGCCACAGAAATGTATAAAGTGAAAAAAAAAACAAGCTAACAAAAAACAAACATTAAGCCACCTTTGAGATGGCTTTCAGCTTAGCGCGCGGCGCGACTTCAATCGACCAATCAAAGATTAACAATTGCCAGTCCGATCGGGCAGGAGCACACGCCAATACCAATACCAAGACCAAGAGCAAGAGCTAAACCAAGACCAAGCCCATAACGAAAACTTAGCTGCTACACACACACACACACACACACACACACACAATCACACACACATGACATTGTCGCCAACAAAGCTGATAGATGATTAATGAGCTGGCATGTTATATGCCGAGTTACCAAAACTACCTAAACGAAAACTGAGCAGCCAATAAGCGCGGTTCAATCGTGTGTGATTGACTAACAGATACCCTATGCACAGAGTCAAGCGTGCATGCATTCAAGCTGCTTCTACGCAGACCAGAACAGACATCATATATCATATATAGGAAATCCATGCCCGGCTAACTTCGGCATCTATAGTTCGATCGTAATCAAATAATCAAGACTTAGACATGGCATGCAAAAGTGTGTACATACCAAATTTGGTGCATGTAGCTCTCATAGTTTTCGAGTTGTGCTCAAAAAACCATATCAATATATCGATATTTATCGATCTTATGAAATTGAAAGGATTTATTAAGAGTAGTAATAAGTTCCTAGTGCGTTATGCGCTAGGAGAAAATATATTTCAAATTTGAAGTCTCCAGCTTTAGTGGGAAGACAAATGAGGGTCAGCTCAAAATCGATATTTATCGATATTTATCGACAAATGAAAATGCAGCCAGCATTCGTAATTAGATATAGGTAAATAGTTATTCAATTTCTTTTAGTTTCCGATCTTCACAAATTCTCAATTCGTTTAAGAATCTATATACTATATGGGTTCGAACCTGCTTTCTGCTGCCTGTTACATAGCTTTGCAGCAAAGCAGCATACCTTTATAGGTTATTTTCAATAGGTTCAGGGTATTAAAATCGAAATCTAAAAACTGAAAACCGAAATCCGAAATCCGAAAACCTGGCTTCTTCAGCTAAATGATCATCGTGTGTCAATTTGGGCATCATTAGGAGTGTGTTGTTTTTTTTTCTTTATAAGCGACCGAACCCTTTTTTTTATTTCTGAGTTGTGTTTTTTTTCACTTTGACCGGCTGCCAAATCGATTAGCAGGCGGATCTAACTTTGATTTTTGCCACAGTAGTCGTAAGGTGTAAATAATTCAATCAATCATTTGTCAACAGTTTTTGGCTTCCGTTTAGCGTTTCGATTCAGGGTCAGACCTGGCCGCGGCCCCCTCCCTCTCTCCTCTCGCCCTCTCTGGCATCCTGATTGCAACAACTTCTTGCTAAAACCCGCCTCCATTGAATTGTCAGCGGCTCGCGCGCTGTGGAGTAAATCAATCTAGCCAGGTGGATAGCCTCGACAGCTGCGACTGGGTGAAAGGCGTGAAAGGATTGAGCTGCATGTGCAACAGACTGGCTCGGAAAGGGGCGAGGGGACAGGGCAGAAGTAGGGGCCCAGCCGGAGCTGAGGTTAATGCCCATTGACAAGGAATTGATAGAGAGTCAGCGCGGGATGTACGCATTTGATAGATTAGCATACAATTGAGAGACTTTGCACTTCGAGTGCAGCTCAATTAATTGTACATAAGTAATAGCCAAGTGTTGGGCCAAAATAATTTGTAATTAAGTTCTCTTTTTATCAAGGGTCTGATACATGAAGGTTCGAATTAGTTCAAGGCAATGCCTTGTTCTTAGGTTCGGCAAGTTTTCCATTTCAACAATCCATGCTGTTACGCTTGTAGAGCGTTTTATATACTTTGTATAAAACATATAGTATATATATTTTCTCGATCAGTGTCAGTCTATTGCCATGCAAACTAGCCTCTCAATTATCTCTCAGCAATCGTCTTTCTTTCTTCAGCCGAATCAGCCGAAAATAATATACCTGCCATAGGATCGGTCGAAATATAGGCTCTTGTATCTTGCGAGCTTGACTATGCTCCTTACATATCTGCAGAAATGTGTGCCATACGTCTTAAAAGTTATTTAACTTATGGATATCCTGACGATATCCTTACCTTTTCTCTTTTGCTACATTAAAATTGTATGAGAATTAAAATAATATATAAAAAACTTAGTTTGATTTCTTTTGAATCGCAGAATATTAACATAATCTACAAACGTTAACCTTTACCTTCAGGTTTTTTTTTGGTTCCGTACTCGAACTGGTTTGTAGTTAGAAAAATTAAATTGGAGGCTTTTAGATATCTGAAGAGTTTCATAAATTTCTTCATATTCAATTTTCCGAAGAAATAATATCTAAAAATATCCATATTTATGTATAGATTCATTTATTCTTGATATAATACTTATTTGAATGGAAGAAGATATTTATTTAGAAAGTTTTCTAGTATAATCATGAGAACTGAACATTGGAGATATTAGTATGTCTGACAATCCATAAAAAAAAGGAATTTAAAATTGAGCTCTATAATTTGAATATGTATTTTCTCACAATTGAAATGCATCTATAAGAATAACTTTGATGTGAGGTACTTTCGAACTGCCCCACCCACCGCCCGGCTGGCTACTTTAGAGTTTTCTCAGGCCTTCGGTCTTATCTGTGGGCCAGCTGACGTTGCGCCTGTCCAGATGGAGGGAGAGAAAAAGCCGCCCGCTATCCCACGCTTCCGACAATTCGGACCATAAGGAACTTTACGTGGGAATCCTTGACTCGGAGTCGCGAGTCAGAAGTCAGGAGTCGAAGTTCTTGCCCTCTTTGAGCATATTGCACTCGCTGAAAAATTAACTTTTGACCCGCAATTATACAGTCGAGCGGGAGGAGGAGGAGGAGGACGAGGTCGAGGAGAGGCATACATATTCATCATCGAGTCACCCCTCGTGGGTGTGCGAGAGGGTGGGCTGCCGTGGCTGAGGACTGTGAGCACTGTGGGCCGCCTTGAGAGGCAACACCTGTGCCCATGTTTTGGGTAGAAGGTGCTATATGACTCTGGAACTGAAAATCAGTCCAACGGAACCGAAGCGAAGCTAACCGCTAACCAAGCGAGTCCGGACCGGGAACGACACCCACCCCTCTCTGGATGTGTTTGCATGTATAATCTTTGGTCATTGTCATCCCTTAGACTGCATTCTTGGCCAGCAGCAGGGTTAAGGGGCTGCTGCTGCTGCTACTGTTGCTCACCTGTGCGTGTATCTGTGTGTGTGTCACCTGGTGGTTGTCCAAGTTCACGACGAGCTGTCCGCTGCCCGCTGCCCACCGTCCGTTTTGATAGTCATTTCCCCTCGGAATTGTCATTGGACCTCTCCCTCCCTATCTCTCTCTCTCTCTCTCTCGCTCTCTCTGCCCGCCTTTACTTTCATTTTGGTAACAATTATCTATTCAACGTCAAGCCAACGTATACCCTGTATGAGACTATATGAGTGCACACGATTTGGTCGCTGCCACCAATTTTGTGTTAAGTGTTTGCGTGTTGGCCCTGCTCTGTCTGCATTTGCATGTGTGTGTGTGTGTGTGTGTTTCTGTGTGTGTGTGCTGGTCATATGCCAGTGCGTCCTGTCTAGTCCTTCCGCAGATTGTTAGCGAGCAAATAAAACATTAGCTCGGCGGCATAATGCGCCCAGTGCGACACACTTGTTCCTCAAACGCGAACCCGAACGGTTGTGTCAAGTGCTCCCTAGATTGTTAACCCATATACTAAAATAATATATATACCATCACAATATCATCAGCTCTCGAATCAGTCTGAAAGCGTCCAGCGAGGAAGTCTCAAGCCAAGTGTGAGTGTCGTGAATCCTTGATAGAATCTTCATATGGAAATCAAAACTGAATTTTATAATAATTTTCGAGACTTACAAATGCAGCTTAAAAAAATTATATTAAATATTTTATTTAGGAATATTAAAAAAAAAACGTATATTTAATTTAAAAACAAAAAATTATAATTTATAAAATTATTGACAAATCAAATTGAAAAAACTAAAAATTGAAATCAAAGAGAACATTAAAAAAATTAATTGAAAAAAATTGAAAAATTAGAAATTTGAAGAAATATATTTTTAACAAACTAATTTTTTTTAAATTGAAGCACAAAAATATTTCAAATATTTCAGAAAACCTTTTTGTACAAATTTAGATTTTTTTATTTTTTTTCTAAGGCAAATATATTTTTGAGTGCGCCATAAAATAGAATTCAGAAAATATTTACTACACTTATTTTAAGTCACTTTTTTATAAAACAGAACCGAAAATACTTTTTAATGTATATTTAAAATGATAATTTATAGAGATTTCTCTGAGCAAAAAATGTAAATGAAAAAGCTCAAACAATATTCAAAAATGGCTATAAATTTGTACAAATTGAAATGATCTCTTCTATCAAACGCGATCAATAGAAAACTGTGCTTAAAGATCTTTGAAAGTTGAATAAGACTTCCTTTTAGATTTTCCTTAAATAATTGCTTAAATTTGCTTTCTCAATCTCATTTACAGGCTTTTACAGCGGCGACGAATTTTCCAAGGAGAAGAAAAACTCCTCCCTAAATAGCCAGGGCGACAACGATTTCACAGACGACGAGAACGGGTTCGATATACGCTGTGAGGTCTGTGATAATGTCTATACGGATCTAGAACGGTAAGCGAAGCCCGACAATTATATATAATTAATAATTAACAACGATTCGCAAAATCGAACTGGAAACGCACAGTTTCTATATAAGTACAGTTTCTATATATTTTGGGCGCCGCCAGAGAATGTCCGCAAATTGCTTTGGCATTTAAGCTGAGGAGGGGTACAAACTAACCATAAACTAAATCAAATCAAGCAAAAACAACAAGAAACAACTCATAAATGTTAGCTGAAAACAAGCTGCCAATTAGCTTCCAACTTACCCAAAAAATTGTGGGCAAGGCGCATTCGACCTGCAAAAAAACAAAAAAAATATGCTTAAAAACTATTCCCAATTGTTGCTAAACGCGCTCGAACCGCAGCTTCGGCATCGGCTATCTTAATTAAGAGTCGATAATACCCATTGATAATACCCATTTAGTGTGGCCAATAAAAAAGCCATTAAAGCGACGGCGGCGGCGGCGGCGTCGGCGGCCGCGTTGCCAAACGCTTGAAAGTGAGAGTTGCCAACGAAAGGTTTTGTGATCTATTTGCCTATTTAGATATTTTTACACTTTTGGCAACTCGCGTTTGATTGGGTCTTTATTTTTTTTTTATAATAATTAGCTTATCTCGCCTGTACTAACTAAAAGACGGCTGTATTAGTTAATATTATTTATTTTATTGCGAAATTCATATCGAGGCATTCGTATCGCATAATTTCATATGCCAACTATTAACATTGTTACTTAGGGTACAATTCGTAAAACTACTCATTTAGGAACAATTTTAGAACTAGTTCACTTTTAACTGTTATCTTTAGACTTTGGTTTCATTTGAAAGAAAGAAAAGTTGCACAATTTGTTGTGCTGAAAGTATATTTATCAAATGTGAACTAGTCTGCGAGTTATATTGGCATAAATGCCTTCTTTGAAAGTGAACTAGTTCATTTGTACTAAGCCTTATGCTGAAAAATGTGTTTAACATCTGTTGGCTCAATTGAATGATTACAGCTATTATCAAAGTGAACTAGTTCATTTGTATGCTTATATATATTAAATAACTGTACTAGTTCCCTAGTTCCCATTTGAAGGTGGCAGAAATAGTTGAAACATCTTTTAAAAAAGTGAACTAGTTTCATTTGTGTTCATCTTTATCTGGCATCAATGATTACAGCTGTAATCAAAGGGAACTAGTTCATCTATTAACTGTACTAGTTCCTTTGCGTTCATCATTCTAATGGCATCAATTATATTTAAGCACTTCAAACTAAAGAGATCTTTAATCAACTTAAATTGCAATATTTAATGCAAAACTTTTGTACAATATTTACAAATGTTTTGCATTGCGACAACAACAACAACAACAACATGAAAATTACATTTCTCGCTCCTCCGTTATTTGTTATGTTTTTTTCAAGTGCTAAAGTGCGCTTTGCTTTGACTTGGTCTAGTGCAAGGCAGGGCAGGGCAGGGGGAGGAGGGATAGAGGCAGGCCCAGGCAGCAAGCGGGTGGCCGGACACAGTGTGTGTGTGTGTGCGTGTGCGTGTGTGTGATTTATTGAATTTTAGATGAGAAGCCCTCACAGTGAATGGAGAAGCAATGCGAGCAAGCTCTCCCCCACTCTCCCCCACTCTCCCCCCCCTCTCTCTCTCACTCTCGCTCTCGCTCTCTCGCTCTCTCGCTCTCTCTCGCTGTTCGTTGCCTGCGTGTCGCTGGGTCCGTCAGGCTTTGCAATTTATCTGATGTTGAACATGCATTGTTTACCGTTGTTGTTGCTGTTGCTTTTGCTTTTGCTGTTGTTGTTCTTGTTGTTGTAGGCAAACAAACGCCCACACTTGAAACGCACAAGAGGATTGAAGCACTGGCCCCGTCAACTCTTCCATGTCGATGACAAAAATCACAACAAAAACAAAACAAAAAAACGAAAGAAAAATCGAGAAAAAAAATATGCTAAAAATGTGTCCGCCTTTTGTCGACAGTTGCTCCTCCCACGCGCTGCGGCGGCGGCGGCGGCGATAAGCATCGCACTCGCTGCTCCACAATCAAGGGCACCCCAGGGAAGGGGCGGCAGGTATGAGGGGTCTGCAGAGGACACTCATTGGCCGCAGCTGTTGCAGGGCGCGATCGCTTATCAGCGTCGCATATTAAATATTGAACATCATTTGACTAATTGACGCCAAAGGCAGGAGGCGCCTGCCCATGTGTGTGCGTGTGTGTGTGTGTTTGTGTATTGTTGGACAACAAACAAAGTAGCTGGCTAGCTCAAAGGGTGAGGGTGGGGGTGGGGTTGGGGGCGTGTGAATTGACGCACATGACTCTGATTGAGCAGATTGTTCAGAGCTTTTGTCCCAACTGCCACAAATGCTAATTTCATTTGCTGATGACAGCGACAACGATAAGAAAAGTGTGCCCACACCACAATAAAGAAGAAAAACAAAAGGAAATACTTTAATATCCTCGCTCATGACACTTTATACCCTAACTCTCTCTTGCAGCCTGGACGATCATCTGGTGGGCGCGCATCATTTCAAGCGCGGCGAATTCGGCTGCGAGCTCTGTGCCCAACGCTTCTCCCATCGTCCTTTGCTGATCAAACACGGCGCGATCGCCCATAATAACATACGGAAATATTCCTGCGAGAATTGCTCCAAGGTAAGTGTTTTTTTTTTTAAAGTGTAAATGAAGAGAGCGAAGCTCGAGTCGAAGAGTAGGAGGAGAGATGAAAAGTATATGAAGTGAGAAGCTAAGATTAAGATATTAATATTTCATGATGTTAAAGCGTGCATAGAAAGGATTTCGTTTCTGCTTTGCTGCTATTATTCGTCGCCAAATGCCTTATAATTCGCAATCAGTTTAAGCCTGTGACGTTTGAAAAGAAAGAAGATGACGTTTATGCTATAATTGAATGCCTAAATCCTTATAATTCGCAATGAGTTTTAGCTTGAAACGATTTAAAGCACGCAAGAAAATCACTAGATTTACTAGAATGAAATGTGAAACTCGCATTGCAGAAGCATTTGCGAAATTGATTTAATCAGAAGAGTATCTATACATATTTCGAGAGAAACATCCTCATCTCCTCGTATTAAGAAAAGACTTCAAACCCTTTGCCGAATCTTGGCCACAACTGACAAAGAAACTAAACTTTGCTGCGCAACAAGTACGCAAATAGGTGTGTGGCAAGGCCCTTGGCCAACCGATCAGATCATTAATTATTATATCAGGTCTGTATGGTATGTGGTACACAACTAAAGACTTTTGATTTCAAGCAGATCAATAGCCGCAGGCCTAAGAAAACCTCTTTGCCTGCTTGTCGCTTGCCTCTTTTTAACCCCCTGCCCCTGCCCCTGCCCCTCTCCCAGCCCTTGTCGCACGCGCGACTCGTAATACGAAATCAGGGCGTGTACTCATCCAAAACACTTAAGCGACCATTTGAGTCAGTTGCTTGGGTAATGAACAGACTTTTGTTGTTATCATACCCTGGACTCATTGCAATTGGGCAAAAGGGCTATACTGTTTTTCTGCATAAGTATGTAACAGGAGACCCCTATGCTTATCTATTTGTCTGCATCTACTATCATATCCAAAATATCGATTTGGCAACATTAACTTTTGAGCACAACTCGAGGATTTGACGACCTATTTACTGCAAACTTCGTATTTAAGTTCTTCTTGGGGAAGGTCCTCCATTTCGTACGAAATCGTAAAAATCCTGAATCCTAAATTCTGAATATTTTGTAAAGATTGGACTATGAATACCAAAGTTACTCAGGAATGAATTTGCCATAAAAAGAGCAGGAAAACCCATATAATGTATGTAGGCAGGGGTAACTCCTAGTCGATCATGCCCGCCTAGACTAGTCTTACTTGTTGTTGCACATCTTCGCGTTGCATTTGAATGCCAATGTTAAATTAAAGGGCCTAAGAGGAGCTTTTTGATGTCGGTATCTATCCAACCGACCGACCGACCATCGAACCATCCATCCATCCATCCATCCATCTATCCATCCATCTGTGCATCGTTTCGATTCGATTCCGAGCGATTCGTTTCAGGGCCCCGGCACTTCGTCATTGTCATCGACAGCGGCTTCGACAACTCTGGCAAAGAGATGTTTTTTAATGGCATGTTGATTACAATCTTGTGGTCTTCGGCTACCAGCTCGAAGCTTTTTCTTTTGGATTTTCCCTTTTTCTCTTCTCGTTGTTGTTGTTGTTTTCCAATGCGTTTCGAACGGTATTTCAATCGTTGCATTACAGTTAGTTTACTTAGCGCTCTGTAATTGTTTCGGTGGCATGTAAGTAGCACGCATTGTGGTGGTGCCCCGCCCCTTACCCCCCCTGGCCGACCCGCTGCGACATAAACGGGAGCCAGTCGAGAGGCCAAACACAAATGCTGATCGATCTTCTTGGGGGCACTCGCAACTGGCCAGTGCCACATAAAAGGCCAAATACTTTCGCTTCGTCTCCAGGTTCAGCATTGACAGGGCAGCCCAAAAAGCCCAAAGAGCCCAAAAAAACCCAAAAAAAAAGAAATAGTATAATAAGAAAAGAGAACTGGGGGTCTTTGCAGCTGTCAGCTTTGTTTGTTTTCCAAGCAGGCGGCTCAAAGCGTTACAAAAGGGATTTGCCACGGATCTAACATGTTTTCCATTTGCGCCTAGCCCCTCTTCAGCTATCCAAGCGAAACGGAGTAGCTGCTGGAGAGCTGCTCGAAACAGGCTAGCCATACTTAGGATCTGACTAGGGCTTCTGCTCTTAATGGTATGGCAACCCAAAGTATATCCATTTCAGCAAAATTCCTTGATATTCCTTCATATTCGATAGATCTACAACTGACCAGGATCCTAATTAGAATTCTTGAATTCTTGCGAAAGGAAGTCTTTGGATGTCGTCAGGATCCTTGCAGTTTTTTCTTCCAGGCTCAACTTGATCTTATTCAGTTTTCTCATTGTTAAGTCTTTCATTCTGTTATGACTCTAAGAAATAGATTTCCTTAGCTTAGCAGCAAAAGTTTAACCCTCATGCACTAAGTTCTATCCAAATTCTTATGCAGAGGCTAAGGGTTATATAAATTCTTAAATTATTCCTAAGTAATTGGAGAAAGGAGTTCTCTATTGAACGTACTTCAATCCAGCTAAGTAACTCTCAAAGAGAGGTTTACCTCATACTAAACTATCTGGGATTAGGCTTAGATTTTATTCCAGCAAGATCTTCCATTGGTTGGAGTTCCTCTTCTTGCATGGGATTTGGCTGTTGCTCTTAATTAGTATTTTACTTGGCGAAATAGATTTCTTGGCTTGGCAGCTGTGCGGCTGGGCCTTTAACCAGTTTGCAGCAAACGCCTGCACCAGATCTCCACATCATCATCTTTTAGTGCCCTACTCCAGACGCCTTTGGCTGACCCCACGTACGGGCCTAACGCCACACAACCAACAACAACAACAACAACAACAACAACAACAACAACAACAACTGGGTAGAAAAACAACAACGAGGCAAGACAACTGCCTCACATCCCAGACAATCGCATTCCATAGGCCAACCTTTGCTGGAGCTCCAAGCACCAAGAGCTCGTCTTGCCGTCGCCGTCGCCTTTGCTGCCTGCATGCCTCGAACACCTACACGTTAATCCACGAGGCTGAAGCTTCAGTTGTACCTGGTTGTTGTTGTTGTTGTTGCTGTTGTTGCTGTCTTTTGTGGCGTTTTTCGCCTTTTTGGAGAGGTAGTTGAATCTAATCCATTTGATGTAGTTATAGCACGAGCTATTCTTGTGTGTGTCGCCCCGTTTGTCTTCGGGCCTCGGTGTCTCACCAATGGACTCCAATAGACAAAAAGAAAAAAAGCAGTCAGCCTGACTCGATCATCGTTTGATATGAATTCGTAGCGCATTATGACAGCATGATTAGGCATAACAGTTTCGTAAAAGGCAGCGCAGCGCGGGTGGAGGCTAAGACCCAAAATCAAGTTTCAAGTGGCTAAGTGAGAAAAACTGGTACCTGGCCCGGCTTCGGCTTCAGCTTCAGCTTCGGCCTGGGCCAAAATGAATGGCTCGATCTGTCATTGCGTTAGCCCCCCGCCCCTACCGTCAAAGAAAAAAAAAAAACAAAGCTTTAGCTGTGGCTTTAACTAGGGTTGGATCGTGTAGAGTCACAGTGTATTGCGAGGATTTGCTCCAAAAAAGTGACTTTGGCTTGAAATTTTGGAATTTTCCAATAATTTAGTCAAATAATTTAACAATAAAAGTGTTTAGCCTAAAGCTAGCAAATTTCCGCAGAAAAACTTGCTATGGAACTTTAAGATCATGCTAAAAGTTCACTTAAAATTTCTACTACAAAAAAAATCTCAGGATTTCATTAAAGTTAGTTTTTAATTGAACAATAAATAGTTCAGCTTTACACATACCAATTTTCAGAGGGATATCTCTTTATATAGAGCTCGTTTGGCTTGATTTTTACTTAGTTCACTTTTCAATAACTCGAGAAAAATATGCTGAGGTAATCAGGGCTAGTTTTTATTTGAACAATGAATAGTTTAGCTTTACGTATAACAATTTTCAGCAGGAAGGGTGTATATATCAGATATTGAGACCCTACTGAAAGCTCAGCCCATTTGTATAGCCTGATTTGTACAGCAAGCAGTCACTGTATCAGTCACTGTTTAGCGTGCAGCAGTCACTGTTTGGCCGTCTCGGCAAATGTGGTCACGGCTTTGAGGAGGACGCAGGGCGGGCCACGGGGGGGGGGGGATGGTCAGGCTTACGACAATTGTAGCAATTGATGTTAATAATTGACGAAGGTGTTGCTGCTGCTGCTGCTGCTGGTGGGTGGAGTTGTTGTTGTTGTTGTTACCTTTGCGTAATCTGAGAGCGCGGAGGGGCATTGTCTAGGCGCTCGCATAGATCCGTTTAGGGGCCGCCGCCGCCGCCGCCGCAGCAGATGATTGATTAATTTCAGTTTCATTTCATTTGGCACTTGGAACCAGAGCAGGCCACAGGCAGCTCGGCGACTCGACAAAAGCCTAATACTCACGCGTTATTCAAATTGGATTTGGTTTGGATTTCATTTTTTCAGGTATTCTGCGACCCATCGAATTTACAGCGTCATATTCGCGCCTATCACGTCGGCGCTCGCAGTCATCCGTGTCCGGAGTGCGGCAAGACGTTCGCCACCTCGTCGGGTCTGAAGCAGCATCAGCACATCCACTCGTCGGTGAAGCCGTTCGCCTGCGAGGTCTGCTTCAAGGCCTACACCCAGTTTTCGAACCTGTGCCGGCACAAGCGCATGCACGCCGACTGTCGCATGCAGATCAAGTGCAAGAAGTGCAACACCAGCTTCAGCACGGTCACCTCCCTCTCCAAGCACAAGAAGTTCTGCGACAGCTCCCACAGCTTTCCCACACAGCAGTCGACCAGTCGACTCCAGCACCACCACCAGCAGCAGCAGCAGCAGCAGCAGTCGGCGCATCATCCGCATCATCCGCATCATCATCAGCAGCAGCAGCAGGCTCCGCCGCCGCCGCAGTTACTTTTGCCGCCAGGTGCTCATCAGCGTCTCGCCGCTGCCGCCGCCGCAGCCGCTGCCAGCAGCAGCAGCAGCAGCAGCGAACCGGGCAGTTCGGCAGCCATGGCCACGCCCCCGAATCATATATTCATGATGCGTCCGACGCCGTCATTCTTTCCGGGCTTCCCGCACTACGGACTGCCGAACTTCTTTACGCCCGGCCTGCAGCAGACGGGCAGCTTCCCGCTGCCGCACATGTTCTCCACCTCGCAGCTGGCCGGAGTGGACATGGGTCGCGGCCTGGCGCCGCTTTGCTCGCCGAACGCCACGTTCCAGCAGCAGCTGCAGGCGGCCATGAGCCTCAAGTCGGAGGAGGCGCCGTGCCTGAAGCGCGCGTCCAGCACGCCGGAGCGCAAGCCCATCAAGGCCGAGCTGCACGCATCCGATGAGGAGGAGGAGGAGCCGGAGGAGGACCTGGACTCCAGCTGCTACCAGGCGTCCAGCAAGCAGCTGCAGACCACCGACTCCAGCCAGATCAAGCGGGAGAGCAGCAGCTCGCAGCCCGCAGCAGATGAGCATGACGACAATGACAATGACAGGGTAAGTACGCAGATCTACAAGAGACATCGACACGGGCTTAACCCTGGACACCTTTTGCCACTCCAGAAATCCATAGACATCATCAGCACGCCGCCGCCCGCGGAAACGGACCTGGATAACGAACTGGAGCGGCATCTGGAGCCGCAGCCAGAGCTGGACAAGAGCAGCGCCGCGGAGCTGCCGCTGGATCTGTCGATTAGTCGCAAGCGACGCAGCTCGCACACGCCCGTGCCCGCGGCCGTGCCGTCCGCCATATCCCTGTCCAGCCGCACGCCCTCGCCTGAACTGGAACCAGAGGAAACGGAGGCGGAGCCGGATGAGGCGGAGACGCGGCCGCCGCCGGCCAAGCAGCTGAAGCACAGCTCCGGCGAGTCGTCCACCTCGCGCCAGTCCTACAAGGGCAGCTGCCGCAGCACGCCCAGCGTGAGCGCCTCGCCGGGACCCACGCCCTCGCCCTCGCCGCCCATCAGCAGCAACGGCGGCGAGCTGAGCAGCATGTCCGAGAGTGCCGCTGCCGCCGCTGCCGCTGCGGGCGCTGCTGCCGCCGCCGCTGCGGCCGCGGCGATGGCCTGTCCGCGGCAGCTGCATCCGCAGCTGCTACTGGAGGAGTTCTATCGGTCGCGCTTCAACCAACAACCGTTTCATTTTTTAGGCCAAATGGGCGGACGGCCAGGTTTTGAGTCGATGAAGACGCCAGCTGTAGCCAGCAGCAGCAGCAGCAGCAGCAGCTCGCGTCATCTGCCGTTTCCGCCCGAGCACAATTTCCACGAGGCGCTGCGTGCCGCCGGCCTGGCCGCCGCCGCCCGGCCCACACATGCCGCCACTTCCGGCAGTGGGAGCGGTGGCAAGCTGAAGGATCGCTACACCTGCAAGTTTTGCGGCAAGGTGTTTCCGCGCTCCGCCAATCTGACGCGGCATCTGCGCACGCACACCGGCGAGCAGCCGTACACGTGCAAGTACTGCGACCGAGCGTTCAGCATCTCGTCGAATCTGCAGCGGCACGTCCGGAACATACATAACAAGGAGCGGCCCTTTCGCTGTCACATGTGCGATCGCTGCTTTGGCCAGCAAACGAATCTCGATCGGCATCTGAAGAAGCACGAGGCGGACGCCGGCGGCTTCGAGTACAACGATTCGCCCAGCTCCAACGAGGCCAACGATCGGGACGAGGCCTGCTTCGATGACATACGCTCCTTCATGAAGGGCGTCTACACGCCCAACAGCCTCCATGGCGCCGATGGCGATACCGAGGAGTATGCCGGCAGCGACGATCAGTTGTCCGTCTCCACGCGCCAGTCCGCCAGCTTCGACAAGGAGCTGCTGCTGCTGCCCAACAACAACAACAGCAGCAACATCAACAACAACAACAACAACAGCAACAACAACAACAGCAACAACAACAACAGCAACAGCAGCAGCAACAACAACAATCAGACATCTCTGAGCGAGTCGATCGCCGTGAGCACCTAGAAGAGCGCTTCGGCTGCTTCTTCTTGAAAACTCTAAAATTACTTTAAAAAACAAAAAAAAACTTTACTTAAGCGTGCCTCCGAGAGGGAAAACTAATCTTTAAGTAGTTCGCATTTTTTCCTTCTAGATATTTAACAAAAAAAAAAAAAAAAAAGATTATAACAAAAAAGAAACAACTAATTGTAGCTATGCAATCAATGGAAAAAGACGGTGAAGTAAGCAAAAAAACAAATCGATTTAAATTAAAACAACAACAAAAATATATAAAAATAAATTTAATAAAAAAAAAATGTTTCAATAGCTCATATTATAAAACTAAAACTTCTTACAATATGCATAAATGTAAATTAATTATTAACAAAAACAAAAAGGAACCCACTTTAAACAATATGCTAGTTATCTTAAGTCTAAGTTATGTGCTGTATGTAAATATATTTAAGTGCGGCACTTGATCAAAGTACTTGTCGTCGGATAGAGTATTACAGCAGGCATATTTTGATTGTGTATCCAATGGAGCATGTCCCACATATACACACTCTATGTATTTAGATGTGGGTGTGTGTGTGCGACTAAGTTTAAATACGTTTAGTGCTAATTATTGCAATTCTCAAAACAAATTTTATAACATTTACTTAATTATTAATATATATAGATTATATATATATATATATATGTATATGAGGAAAGATCGTTATGGATATATTGAAAAATCAATAAATAAAACAATCACATCAAATCTAAAATATTTCCCATTTGCAGAGAAACTTGGAAAATTGAATTCAAGTTGAACAGAAGATATTCAATGCTATAAAACTATTTTTTAGCCTTATTTGAATAAAACTAAACTAAAAGAAATAGCACGTATTGCAAAATATGTTAAATCCTGGCTATTAGTAGAAAAAAGATATCGCTTTGTCCTATGGAAATGTGTCTCTTACATACATATAGCCAGTTTCTGGTTCAAACCTTACTTTGGATTAAGATTACGGTTCTGCTTAAGATCTTTAAACTAATGATTTTATTAAATAAGTATAATACAAGAATTATGTTTCCAGACTTAGATGTTAAATTGATTATGTCTGTATATATGTATGCATATATGTATGTATGTATGTATGTATGTATGTGTGTATGCATGTAAGTATGTTTGTGTATATGTATGTATGCAAGTGTATATATATGAATGCATGTATATATGAAAAATGATAAAATGCATTTAATAGAGTATGTCGTCTGTATGTGTGTGCGTGTGTGTGTATGTATGTATGTATGTATGTAAATGTATGTATGTATGTAAGCTTTCTTTTATATCAATAGCAGACCAACCTGTCTTTTTACGCGGAAAATTTAAATAAGAAAACGTATTTTTTTAAGCTGCTCTCCTCCTCGATTCTCAAAAATGTAAGTGAGGGCTGCAGGTTTCACCTATGAATAAGTGGAAGTCGGCTTCAACGCTGGAAGCTGAAGAGCCCGAGGAGCATGGTGGAGGAGCAGGAGGAGGACCAAGGGGGCGGAGTATGTATGTGTGTATGTGTGTATGTGTGTATGTGTGTATGTGTGTATGTGTGTATGTGTGTATGTGTGTATGTATGTATGTATGTATGTATGTATATATGTATGTATGTATGTATGTATGTATATGTGTGTTTTTTTTTTTTTTTTTTTTTTTAATAGGGGGGAAAGCATTTAAAGCCGAAAAGTGTGGGACTTTCACCCACTAAAACCACCACCTACTCTCCGTTTCCCTCTCGCGGAACGACCGCTAAGTATTACCTCACGAGGGGGAGATGGCATGAAAGCCTCTTCTAGGATCTTATCTAGAGTTAGAACTTGAATTGCGCTGTCTTTCAGCGCGACGCAAGGATTTGATGATTTCTGCAGCCATTTGGGTTACTGCAACCCAATTGTTTTGCGAGCTAAGTAGGATATCTATTAAGTCAGTGACTGTAAAATTTCTATGTATGTGTGTATGTATGTATGCATGTATGTATGTATGTATGTATGTATGTATGTATGTATGTATGAATGAATCTATTTATGTTTGTATGAATGTGTATTCGTATGTAGGTATGGAAATAAGCCTCAACTATTAAGGATGCGGTGGCTTTAATTTTGGAAAAGGCGGCGGCTTTATCAATAAAGGAAAAGGCGGCTTTGAAATTGTAGGAGATGTGTTCTAACTAATTCAAGTAAGGTTTAGGAAGCAACTTGCGTTTTTAAGCTAATAAACTTTACCTCTGCTTCTATTTTCTTTCAGGGATTTCTTCATATAAAAGTTCGTCTACCGCCTACTGATATATGACGACACAAAATCGTTCGTGTATATTTGCAGGTAAGTACGCTATTACATATATACTATTTTATACTAGTATACACCCCGGCCTTGCCGGTGGCACGTATAATATGAATTTGAATTCAATTTTAAGTTTTCTTTTGGTGCTGTGATTAACAGTGTCCTCTAACTGAAAGTTTTATGTAAATTATTAATATTGCGAAATCCATTTGAGCTTAATGGCTGCCTCCCTCCTCGATTCTAAAAAAATCAATTTTCGCATTTCGATGAAAGTTCAGTACTTTTCTTGTGGCGTGATTAACATTGGCCTACAAGTGAAAGCATAATGTAAACTAAAAATTTAGCAGGCACTGTTCGAACTAAACAGCCACCCTCCTCTGCGATTCTTAAAATTTCAGTGTGTTCAGTGTGTGTTTCAATGTGTTTTCTTGTTGTGTGATAAACAAGTGCAACTATTCAAAATAAGCGGACGCCTTCCTTTGCGATTCTCAGGAATTCAAGTCAGGCGTACATATTTAGATGTTCATTAAGCTGGCATGCGGGTGAATGACTAATTGGTGAGTGTTTGATGAGTCAAATAATAATAAGTAGTGGGTATACCGGGCCGGGATAAGAAGTGTTAGAATAATAAGAAAGTGTCAATATTTTGCAAGGTTTCAGCAGAAAATAAATAAGCAGGGGTATTAGGTATTTAAGTGACAAGGTAAGACAAAAATTGAACGAATAATTAGGATAATATATTTAAATTCCCTCTGGGCTTACAAACCATCCACAAGATTTCACAAACTTTGGTTAATTTGTAACAAATAACTTAATTGAAGTAGTTTCATCATTTTTTATATCTATCGAAAGAGAGAAAAAAGAAAGAGATAAAACAAAAACCACATGACCCCAGCACTTGGCAATCATAATAAAGCCATTAAAAAGCACATCTACTGTAAATGAGCGCATAAAAGAAGACTTTATACACCCATCAATCCTGGCAGCGCCCCAAACATCATTTGGAACGCATTTGCCTATGGAGTTTGGCTTATTATTAATCATTCGCACAGCGCCAAAAACAAAAGGAAAATAAAAGCGAGAAGTTAAACCAAAAGAAATAACTCTGAAACTTATAGCTTTTTAATATATACAGAGCAGTCGAGGCAAAGCGAGACCAAAGCCACATCCAAAACCAAAATCCAAACCAAAACCAAACCCAACCATTCATTCATTCAACCATCTACATCTATCTTCGTATCTATCTACCTATCTATCCATCCATCGCAGCGATCCATCCATCTGCTCTGAATGCAAAGGCGTGATCGGCAAAGCGAGTTAATTACCCTTCCGGTTTAGAGTGTGTTACGCCTTCGGCGAAATGCGGTTAAAACTATGAGCTACCAATACTTTTCATTTTTTTTTTTTTTCATCAACACCCTCTGAGACTCACTGACAAAGGGTATGCTGCACTAGTGAGGTGCAACAGGTCGAAGAAGTCAGCTCTGTCGTTCTTACTTTATCCGTCTATCTGTTCGTTTGCTCTCTAAATCTATTCATATTTTTTACTTCCCGGAAATGGACTTACATCGATATCTGGCTCTTAAGTTATCGATAGCTCCTATTTCCCAGAAATCGATTTATATCGATATCTAGCTCTAAGCACATAGTTTAAATAGGCAGTCGAGTCAATCGAGACACCATCTGCGTCTGTTTTTCGGCTTATCTCGGTTTGCCTCTTATTTTAAGATATCGATAACTCCTTCCATTTGTCAGAAATCGATTTATATCAATCTGTATCACATCAAGTATAAAACAGCCTAATTGCTCTCAGCATGTCCGTATGTAATTTTGCCTGTTCCATAAATATCGATAAACATCGAATTGTCGATAGCTTTTCCTCTTCATAAATCGATGCATATCGATATATAGCCATGAGCATATAAAGGAATTAGAATTGTCCGTTTCCCTGACGATTTTTTTGTCATCGATAAATCATTTTATTCCCTAAATATCAATATATATCGATATCTAGCTATGAGCAGTTTATCTGTTTGTCTCTTATTTCTGACTATTAATATAACCCTTTTATTTCCCAATAATCGATTTATATCGATAACAAGCCTTGGGACTTTAACCGTATTTGTACATGTACATTATAAGAGCTAGGGTGACCAAATTTGTTATTTAGGGGCTCGTATAGTGTATTTTAAGAATATTTATTTATTTATTTAAGTATTTATTATTTACAAAAAGGAAATATTTAATGAGGCATAAGCTGTCTCGGTGCAGCTTGGGTCTGAGTACAGGGTATCTCCTAGTCAGGCCATCTTGTCTACATCATTTGATTTCTTTTGTTTCTATTGCTTGTGATGTTGTTTTTGTTATTTCGGAGCTGCTTTGTCTTTTAACTGAATTTTAAGCTATGTTAGCCTGGCGCTGTATTGGCATCAATCATGTTTTGTACTTTATTTTTTGCCATAGCTTCAACCTGTGCCCATAACCACCGCAGTGCCACCCAGCCTAGCCCCCCCCCCCCCCCCCCCTAGCTGACCCCTCTGAAGAGAGACCGTGTTACCGTTGGGGCCGCACAATGGATCTGGCGAATATCTGCGGTTCGGTTACTTTCGATTATGCGAAATACATTTGGCAGTTGGTAGCCAAAATAATAATCTTTCGACTGTCTGTCGGCCACACAATTGGCTGGGCTCCAAATGGCGCCCCTCTAAACGCGCCGAGCCCCCTCCCGCTGCCCCTGGCTTTGGCGCGTGGTTGGCCCTGACCACAGCCAACTTCCACAATTGTGGCACAATTTGAACGCAAAACTGGCCAAATTATGTTAAATTTGTGTAGAAAACAGTAGATAATTGGTAATTGCCTTCATACCAATGAGAGCCCCTCCCCCCTTAACCATCAGCCCGCCACCTGCCCCTGGTCTGTGCACACAAGAATCTAGATGTAGCCTTGTGTGGCCTTTGGGCGTTAATTGAAGAAGGCATAATTTGA